CAGGATGAGCAGGATCCAGCTCCTACACTGCCCTCAAATACTTAATTCTTGGCCTCAAAATTACCAGGCCAGACCCAAATTCAGCTGGAAAGCTCAGAGTAACCTGGCTGAGCTGCTTTCTGATTTTAAGGACACTGCAAACATAGTATCTGACTTGCCCAGGGACAGCAGAGCCCAAAAACAGCCCCAGGGCTGGATCTTCCTGCTGCTCAGCTGTCTGCTTTTAACTTTTTCTGGGAAGCAGCATCTGAAAAATATTTAAATTGGTATAAAAATCCAGGATTTGTTTTGTATGACCAGTATTTATTACATTTCCCTTTTGTTTCCACTTAACGCAACAACAGGGTTGGAGAAACTACCCAGTTCCGTGCCAGCTCTGCTCAGGGAATTTGCTTTCCATGGGCAAGTTGGTGCCAATGCAGAGCTCTTCCACACTCAAAAGCTCCTTTTTGGCAAAAAGAGGCCTTGAAAAACTTTCCATTTGTGCCATCAATCCCAGTACCCAAATCCTTTTGATGGAGGATGAAGTAGGACATGATATTCCCAAGGGAAACGTGTGGAGTTGGCACTTTCAGAGCCTGTTTCTCCCTCCTAGGACCTATTTTCAGAGCCCAGTCCAAGCAGGTCCCAAGAAGCCCAGTCCCTGCAGCCGCAATGCATCTGGTCCTGCTAAGTCAGAATTAACAGAAGGGTTGAGAGACATTTTAATTACAGATTTGGCTATCTTGCTTGATTTATCCCGGGTAACTCGAGCAATTTATCCATCAGCAGTTATAAAGGATCTGAAGCAGAAAGGAAGCACAGGGAGTATTTATCGCAGTGACTCAGAAGTCATTTAAGAGAGATTTGAAATGAAACAGTGATATTGCTTAAAAAAAACTCTACCTGGCATTAAGAAGTTGTCTCCAGCCAGGAAAATTAATGAGCAATATCATTTCAAACTCCCAATTCCCCTCTTTTCCCATCTTAGCCAAGCAGGGTTCGTTTCTCTTTGGGATGTGCAGCCAAAGTGTGACGTGGGGATGAGAAAATTGGGGTGGTGTTTCGATGTCATTGTACCATCTTTACTCCTGATGGGTGAGACAACCCCCCCGGCAATGCTTTTGCAAGCGGTGTCTGAGCCGCTGCGCTGCAGGCTCGGTGATAGCATCATTTTCTCTGTGACCAGCGAAGAGAGGTTGGCGTTGCTTAATGAGCCTTAGAGGAGCATGTGGTGTCTCAGGTAAGGAGATGTTGCTTAAATATTGCCAGAGAACTATTCAACTCCCCTATTAATACAGTATTTAACACTCCAGTGAAAAAACATCCTGGCAAATAAATGGATGCCTTCAGATGAGCCATGCAGAGAAAAAGTGCTGACAGTGCAGTTCGTTTTCATACCCGACAAATTATTTTTTTCCTGTCAGGTGGTGAAGTTGCGTATAAAAATGTAAAATTCAACAGAAGGCCCATCTCAAAGGGAGGATGTGATATTGCTTCCTACAGCATGGATCAAAGACTTCCACCGTGGAACTTGTCCTTCTCAACCAAAGGCTTTCCAAGGAGCAAGGGTCGGTGAAGACCTGTTAGCTCAGGGAAGGACAGACCACTGAGGCAAAAAGGAGATGTCCCTCAGTGTCCTTCATTCCTGGAGGAAATCTGCAGTTGGATAACTTTGCAGATGGAAAGGGCTATTCCTTCAGAGCTCCTAAACAGGGATTACAGTGATGAATGTGGCACTCACTGTGGTGCAAGAGCTGAGAGGTGGTGGATGGCTTTTATTTTTGCTGCCTATTGATCTCTTTTGCACTCAAATGAGAATAAAAGCTGTTCCTCACCAAACAGGTTCAGGCTTTTAAGGCCAGTGAATCCCTCATCCCCATCTCATCCCAGATGCCTGAATTTATTTCCCACCATCCCAGTGCTTTGACCTGCCAACTTTGGCTGGAGCTATTGAAAGGTGTGAGAAACGCACTTTTCAGCGGAGAAACTTTGGGCTGTGGTAGCGTGAGACATAGGGCTCAGGCTGGATGTGGCTCCTTGGGTTTCTAGATGAGCTGCATCTCTCCCTTTGGAGCAAGAGCAAAGGTGCATGGGGTGCAGGCATCCATGCATGTAGACCTGGTTCCTCATGGAGATGGTTTGCAGGAGGTTGGGGGAATCAATCCCCCACTTTCAGTGCCATGTCCTGCTGCTGGGCTGGATGATGGGGCTGTGGGCAGCATGAGTACCACCTCCCATCTTCCTGGATGCCTTCAGCTGCAGGAGTCGTCGTCCCCCCCCAGCAAACCCAGCTTGTGGAGTAAAAGACACCAACCTAGCACAGGGACGAGCTGCGTTTGGAGATGACCCACTGCTTGCTGAATTAATAAAGAGAGCTTGAGTCGCTGAAGAGGTTTCTCTCGTCGTATCATTTATTCATCACTCATAAAAATATCAGGGGCAAGACTGGGACATGGAGACCATGCCGGAAAAGGATGGTGTGCATGTGTGTGACATTATTCATGCATCAGGGAGACTGCAGTCAATGCTTAATGCATGGGCCACCAAGCGAAGGGGATCCCATCACGAAGTTGGGTGCACCCCCCTGGTCTTGGTGGAAGTTTTGCTCATCCAGCTCATCACTGCAGTCTCCCCTAAAAGCAAATGTTACAGGTCACCTGACCCCAAACCCACAACCCCACGGATCCTAGACCAGGGGGAAGATGCTTCAGCCAGTAAACCCCATTTTCCCTGGGCACTCACGTAATGCACCATGAGAAACGCACCATGAATACAACCACTCAAGATCAAAACCCCCTCATGGCTCATTCAGCCACACCACTGCAGAGCAGGTGTGTGCAGGGCATCACCCTCATGTCAAGGGGACTCCACTCATTGGGCTCTGCCACCACAGCAAGCAGCTTTGAGTGACACCCCCCAACCTCTTCATCCAGCTCAGTGATGTAGAGCCATTAGTCATTGCACTGTACACACAAGCAGCTGTGCCAATTAGCATAATTAACACACGAGGGCCAATTAATCTCTTGATTATGCCTGTCATTCACTTATCAGCTGCTATTATGGGAAGATCGGCTTTTGTACCTCTGCTTTCTATGCAAATAAGCCGGTTATGATGCCTTCATTACTCGATCTACAATTACGCAGCGCAGATACCCATGAAATCGAGCATGGACAGATTGCCAACACACAGAGGCCAGAGCCCAGGTGGATTTTGCAGTTAAAGTCCTCCCCATTTCTGAATCTGTCAACTCAAGTGGTGCTCCAGGATCTGGGTTTTGGGGAATTGCTGATGCTGATGATGTGGGAAAGACCAGAGGAGAAATTCTTGTGGGAGCCTGACTGACCCCTTGCCGTGTTAGTGTCCACAACTGGCTCCACCTGATATAGCGAGAAGGACATGGGCAGAGGTACAAGGGACAAAAGCAGAGAGCTTGTGGTCAGTTGGCCACAGAGGTGGCAGTGGCTGATGCCACTGGCTACAGGCAAGCCAGAGGGACAGGGGACAACCTGCTCTGAGGCAATTCCCAGGACAGGTTCAGGGAAATCATGATCCATGCCCAAGAGGGAGGTATGGTCCCAGCTGGGTCCTGTTGTCCTGAGCTGATCCTCGCTGGGTGGGGCCCTGCCTGCAGCTCCCAGGTGTGCCCTGGCTGAGCTGGGTTGATGGGAGTGCTGGTATAAAAGGCTCCTGAGCAGCATTTTTCTCCATAAGCTGGTTTTACTGGGGTCAAGATGGGGTTGGGAGGCAGCCTGGGTGTTGCTCTGTTCTGCTGGGTGCTGGCTGAAGTAGCATCTTACAGCCCCTGGGGTTTCCCTCAAAGGGACTCAGGGGTCTTGAGGGTCCGGGGTGATTCCTCTTGGAGCCGGCCCTATGTTCCTTCTTTCTCCCAGCCCTCTCCCTGGGCATGGGTGGATGTCTCCCAGCTCCAGGCTGCTGCCCCACTGCACCCTGTGACTGTGCAGTGCCAGGAGGCACAGATGGTGGTCACGGTGCACAGGGACCTCTTTGGCACGGGACGCTTGGTCAAGGCTCTGGACTTGACCCTGGGCTCAGCTGCCTGCCTGCCTGTGTCCCAGAGTGCTGCTGAGAGCACGGTGACCTTTGTGGCTGGGCTGCACGAGTGTGGCAGCATCCTGCAGGTGAGCTGGAATTCTGGGGTGAGGGGCTGCTCCATCGTAATGCTGTATGGGAAATGGACTTCTCTGGGCTGTGGCCAGTACTAGGTGTGTAAATGGGGAATTATTTTGGATGGCTTAGCTGTGAAAGAGCGATGTGCTGTTATGCTGCCTAATTCATCTCTGCAGGGGTCTCAGTACCAGAAATGACCTGGTAAAGGTGATGCTAGGGTTTGTGGTGAGATGCTCATCTGGTTGCAGCAGCTTTCCAGTGAGGGGTGGTGTGACTGTAGCAGAGCTAGTTTTTGGAGCATGGGTACCATTCCCAAGCTGTAGGTGAGGTGCACACTCAACAGCAAGCAAGCCTTGCAGTGGTTTTATGACTTGAGAGATGCACTGGATGCATGAGTACGTGGGAGAACTAGGCATGGCTTGGAACTGCAGTGACTCCTGCTGGGGAAGTAGGGATAGGGGCTTGCTGGCAGTTTTCTGACCTCAGCAGGAGAGTAGAAGGGCTGCCTGGGGCTGGTGTGCCCCAGTTTGTTTGGGGGAGGAGGTCTGCAGACCTATCCTGCTCTTTGCCCACCTGATGTGGGCACTTGCTGGGTCACCAGAGTCATTGAGACTGACCTCCTACAGGGCTGGAACCTTGTTGGGATGCCAGTACAAAGTTTTGTGGCATCTTATGCTCTGGATTGGGAATGTGGAGGACAGCCTGTACCTTTGCAGCTGATGGACCTGTGTGTCCTAGCACAGTCAGTGCTGAGTATCTGATGGTGCTGAGCTTCTGGTTGACTAGTTTGTTTTACTTATCAGCTCTCAAATTTTCCTTCCAGATGACCCCAGACTCCTTGATGTACAAAATAAGTTTGTCTTACAAACCTACTCCTTCTGGCAACCTGGTCATTATAAGGACCAACCCAGCTGTTGTTCCTATTGAGTGTCACTACCCCCGGTGAGTAAGCAAGGTCTCTGTTTCTGCTCCTATGGACTTGAGGTTGTGGTGGCATCTTTGTTAATACACATCTCTTCCATTTAGGAAGAGCAATGTGAGCAGCAATGCTATCCGGCCCACGTGGGCTCCTTTTCGCTCCACCCTTGCCGCAGAAGAGAGGCTGATGTTCTCGCTGCGCCTCATGAATGGTGGGTACAGACCTGGCACCCCCATTTCCCTTGGGTCTCTGCTCCTGCCATCTCTTGGCCTCATGCTGAGAGCCCAAACAGAGCTATAATCTGGGCTAAAATAAAATCTTGCAGAAGTGACATGTGGGGTTGCTGGTCAGTGAAGAAGTCTCTGTGCAAAGGAAGGCAATGTACCCTCCAAAGTGACCTCTACCCTTGTATCTGCGTTCTAGATGACTGGAGCTCTGACAGACTCTCCAATGGCTTCCAGCTGGGGGACAGCTTGCACCTTCAGGCTGATGTTGTATCTGGGGGCCATGTACCTCTAAGGCTTTTTGTGGATGACTGTGTTGCTACCCTGAGCCCAGACAGGAACTCCTCTCCCCGATATGCCTTGATCGACCTCAGCGGGTAAGGGCTGCAGTGCTGTCTTGATGGTACTACTGTAGCTGGCTGGGATGTCCCTGACTTCTGACCCTTGTCCAGGTGCTTGGTGGATGGGAGATCAGATGACACCACTTCAGCCTTCATCTCTCCAAGGCCAAGACAGGAAACTCTGCAGTTCATGGTTGATGCATTCAAGTTTGCAGGAGATGACAGAAACTTGGTGAGATGTGGTGCCTACTCCTCCTCTCCCAGTGTGTTCATAAGCTGTGTTGTTCTGCATGAACAAATTTAACTTTGGATTTTGATTTTATTTCCCTTCTAGATCTACATCACCTGCCACCTGAAGGTCTCCCCAGCTGACCAAGCCCCAGATCCACTGAACAAGGCTTGTTCCTTCAACAAAGCCAGCAGTCTGTGAGTAGCTGGTGCATGTAGGGAAGGGACCAGCCTAGAGAAGAGGGCTTACAGGTAATTCTGTTTCAGCTGGGCTCCGGTGGAAGGTACTGGAGACATCTGCAGCTGCTGTGAGACTGGCAACTGTCCATTTTATGGAGGACACCCTAGAGGAATTAACCCTCTGGCCAGATGGTCAGGGAAGCGCTTGAAGAGGGACATCCCTTCCAAGCAAGGTAGGGTTCTGTGTCCAAAATGTACCCTGAGGGCAGTTTGGGACAGTCAAGATGCTGGAAGATCTTTAGCCAATGTATATTGAGGACAAACCTAGCTCTTCCATGTCCTTGAGCAAGTAACTGTCCCTATATTTAAAACTACTGGAAACCTGCTCTTGCAGTGTCTACCTTTCTGTAAATCCTGAAATCCAGACTAAGCAGGAGTTACCTTCCATCTGAATTAATTTACATCCATTTCTTCTTAGGTGGGTCCTCAAAGGCAGCAGAGGCTGAAGTCTCAGTTGGACCATTATTAATCCTTGATCCAGATCAGGGGTTACGGAGTTCCTCGGGAAGTCTTGCACCAGCAGCGAGGACCCCACATGGTATGTGTGTTTTTGGTGACTGTCCCTTCAGGTCTCAAGTGAAGGTGACTCTAGGGTGAGCTAGTCATGAATCCCCATGACTTCACACCTGGACAATGACTTTCTAGTATAACCACCAAAAGACAGTCTGTGGGACTCCTTCCAAAAGCTGCTTGCAAGTTCATCCACTGACAGAAGGTGGAAAGACAATAAAATGTGTAGTAAGTGGATCTTGTCTTTTCCAGGTGCTGCTGAAGGACTTCCTGTGCTGGTCCAAGTTGCTATATTCATGGCAGCTACTGTACTGGGTTTAACTGCTCTTGGGTTGTTTCTTGTGTGCAGAAAACATAGGTGCCTTCCTGGAGTGTCATTGTAACTCCCCAGCCTTAATAAAGAGAAATGTTTCTGTCCTCTCCGTGTGCTCTTGGTGGGGAGGAGGGACAGCAGTCAGCCTTAGCTCTGGTCTGCTCCAATGGATGGGAATTGGAATTGTGCACATGCCCCATCTTCCAGGTAAGCCATCTCCTTGGGTGGGACCTAAGCTCTTGGGAAGCCACCAGTGAAGCAGTGGTGGGACCAAAAACAGAGCTGTTACCACCTGAAAGCATCTCCCAAACTATAGCATTTGGAAATGGAACATGTCTCCCTGCAGGAGGAATTTCCAAATGTCCCGCGCTGCAGCTGAGACTCCCTGTATGTTGTATACTTGGCATGTAGTGCTGTGGATGGCAAGGACTCCTAAATATACTGGCTGCAAACAAGTTATGGCTTCTATTCTCAGGCAAATGAGGCAAGAATTGATGCTGCTAACAGATGCTGCTAAATGGATTCTAGAAGTTCTGTTTGCTCCTGCTTAGCAGGAGTGATACTGGAGGATGTAATAACAGCACCTCTGTCTTGGGCTTGTTGGTGTGAGTTGATGCAACCTGGGTGAAGAGGCACTAGCTCTTGAAAGACAGAGGGCAGTGGTCACCTCCAGGCACACATGGAGGCTGCAAGGAATTTCTCATCCCATTGGCTGAGCGCCATGTGCTTTGAGATGCTACCTGGCATAAAGATAATCTATGTTGCATTAGGTGAACTAATAGATTTATTTCATATGGTGTGGGTCAGATTCTTTGAAGTATGACTGTGGTTGGTGCTGGTGGCCCTTATATGCATTGCAGGGAGAATCCTCACAGCTGCTGACTTCCCCCTGGTCTGAATGACCTTATGCCACATGTTCTTCCTTTCTGTATCCTGGGAGAGGAGAAGTCAAAGACCCAATGCTTGCAACAGCCTCTTTTCTGAGCTGAGGAAACTGCTCTTCACCCTGGATAAAGGGTGAAAAGGGGCAAAGCAGCAAGGCTGACTCAGAGCAATGCCAGGAACCCCAGTCCCCAGATGCTTGGGCCTTTGCTTTGCCAGTGCAGTCTGAAGACTGCTGCTGTTAAAGAAAGCATTACCTACATTTGGCAGCAGTGGAAGCAGCACTTCTGCCCTGAAGCTCTTAGCTTGCAATCCTCTAGCCATTTGGCTGCAATATAGTGATGCTCATTCTCCTTACAACATGCTTCAACACAGCCTGAGTGCAGCTACAGCTCTGCAAATAAGCTTTCCCTAACACTGAGAAGTTAGCTTGGCACTTGTGCTTGGTGGCCTCTGCAGGGTGTGGACCAGGAACTCCCTCCCCAGGCAAGCTTGGTTTGAAATCCTATGGATGATGTGCTTAGGGCCAATGTTTCCTGCTTCTGTTTTCAATGAATTAAGCAGCTGAGCTGAAATAATCAGGTGGAAAAATGAGGCAACCATGTAAGCTTTTTTCTTTTTTTTTCTTTTTTTTTCTTCCTGAAATCTTCCCAGATCAGGCTGTCAGCATTCATGTTTTATGCACAAGCTCCTTCAGGAAGGAGCTACAAAAGATTAAAACTCCCTTTTCATAATTTTTACCTTGACAGGGTGACATGTGCTGTGCGGCTGGGCTGAGTGTGTGGCCTGGCTGTGATGTTGCCCTTCCCAAAGGGTGTTGATGCTATTCCCAAGGGCACAGAGACCTGGCTATGCCCTCTGGGTGGGAGCTGGAGGTTGTCCTTTACAGTTGGCCCCATATGCATGGTCCACTTCTAACCATTTGTCCCTCCATCTGTCCCTTTTTAACTTATAAAGCCACCTTCTTCCCACCCTCCATGGAAATCTGCCATTGAGCAGGATGTGCTGCCCGTGTACTTCTCTGGATGTCATATCTTTTTTGAAAGCTCTTCAAGCTGCGAGAACCCAGTCTCATGCTTGACAGGTGCTGCCAGCACCACCTTCCTTCCCAAACCCATGAGGAGCTTAATAAACAAGCCAAGCTTTGGTCACTTGTTAATTCAAGATGTGGGCTTGTAACCTCCTCTGGTGCAGGCTCTAAGGAGGTAGCCATCAGGATGGGACTTCTCTCCCCTTCAAGGGTTTTGGTGTCTGGGCTAGGAAAATCACCTGGGTGTCTTTTCTGAGTTACGATATGGATGCCCTCCCTTGCTATGGTGCTCTCACAGAAACTCTGTGTGCAGGGAGCACTTAAGGAGCTGCTGGGCTGATGCCAGCATGGAAAGGGAATGCTCTGAGCTGCCCCAAGTGTGGGGCTGCACATGTTGCTTGTTGACCCCTACATTCAATTGGGTTATTGTTGGAAATGCCTTCCTGAGTTACTCTTATAGCTGTGATGGAGAGAAACCTTCATTAGGTAACTCATAATCAGATCCTGAACCCTCTTTGCCTTTTTATGCCCTGTGCCCATGATGCTGGCAGCAGCCTAAGGGACTGGGCGTTGTGTGGGGAAAAGAGCCTGCCTTTGGGCTCCTGGCTCTGTACAATTCAATCCTACTAGCACTAATACCTCAACTGGTTTTCAGACCCTCTTTTTGAGGCCTGTGACTTGTGCTGTGTGCTTGGACCTGTCTTTCTGTCCTGCTAACCCTCTTCCCAGCCCAGGAAGGGCTGCACATCAGTGATTGTAGCTTATAATGCCGTTGGCTTTCCCCACACTAGCCAGCACATCTGTGGATTTTAGAATTATAATTTAACACTGCTATTAATTCTTTAATAATTTATTAATCTCAATTTTTTTTTCTCCTCCCTATTTATGAGGAAGAAAACCCAAACTTTAAGAGGGCTGAGGGGAAGGGCTCAGTGGAGAAACAGTTCCCAGAAATCCAAGGAGCTAAGGATTTTGGAGCTAAGGCTCCCAAAGCTGGGATTGGTGTAGGTGGATTAAGGAACTGGGGAGGCAAAGGTATCTCATGGAGGATGGAGTGTGTATCTGATTAAGGGACCAGGCAGGAATTTGCTGCTGGATGCTCCTAAGAGTTGGGTAGTGCCTGGTGCAGCTCTCCTGTCCCCAAAGGCACAAAGAGCTCTTGCTGGAGCTGTAGTAGGTGACACTTGGTACATGTTTCCTGTTTGATTTAACACAGCCCTGTGCAATTGCCTGATGGATAAGGAGAGAAAGCATATGGTGTGTGCTGGTGGGGAAGAGCAGGTAAGTTGGGCATCACCACCTGTGAGCTCCATCAACTCTAGTCCCATAACTGCTGCTTTTGGACTTCATTAGTGTTTGTTTCCCTCAGACATGAGCATCTCAGTAAAGACTTAATTAGAAAGCTGTAAGATGCTGGCAGAATAATCAATTTGTGGGAATTAATAATGCGAACAAGGATGTATCGTGGTTATTCATGTGTGTCTCCAGCTTGCTGTAAGTGCCCCCTTATATGGAGATGTTGGTGACAGACTAGAAGTGGCCTTCCAGGCAATTAATTAGAAGAAAATTAATTTACCATGCAGAAGAACAGTCAGGTACTACTTACAGGAATTTCAGGGTAAAAGCAAGCTGCTTGGTACGTTCATTTGCAGATTTGCACTGTCCCATGGAAGTGGTGTGAATGTCAATGCCTGTCTCCCTTCTGCATTGCAGGAGCTGCTTTGTCCTGTCCCTCTCTAGGCATGGCTCATCAGTTATTAGTCAGCAAGAACAATTAAAGACAGGGTAAAATTATGGAAGGCTTTCCCAAGAAGCAAGCTGGGGCTTATATTTGGAAATTCTGTTGCCTCTATCTTGCCTGGGTGGGTGGCCTGGCTACATCCCCATAGGGTTTATCTTGCAGAGACAGTGGTAGCCCAGGACTAACCTGGATGTGGGCACTTGGGCAACAAGAGAAGGGTGCACAAGCGTTTTCTGCTGCTGTGGCATCTGAGGGCAGGCTGGAGGTGACCTCAGTGGAGATGCAGCAGCAACCAGGGAAGGGAAAAATAGAGGGAAAGGAGGAAATGTTCATTTCAGCTGTTCCCTACTGTCTTGTTAGAGCACCCAAAGAGCTTGTGTTGCCAGACATCCTTGTCTGTAACCATGGTGCACCCTTATGTCCAGCTCGGGGGGGCTGCAGTTTAAAATAAACAGGGTATTTGATGTGGAAAGACTTGAGGTGCTTCAGTTCATCCCATGGGACTATCTCCTCCATTGCACTGCCATCCATTCTGCAGCAGAAGGGATCTTTCTGCAAAGGACTCCTGGTCTGTAAGGTAGATTAGACTAAAAGCAACCAACGTTTCCAAATCTGATTGAAAACTCTGGGTTGCTGAGGCAAGGCTGTCCTTTTCAGGGGTTTACTTTCCAGTTGTGAGAGTAAGGAGCCTCCCCTGTTATCCCTAAGCTGCCTGCCTTGCAGTTAAAGACAAACAAAACCTGGTTTGTAGAGCCATGCAGCTGCAGGGAGCTACATCTGTGCAACCAAAGACTTCCCAGCCTTATTTATTGCCTTTTTTTTTTTTTTCTTCCAAGACAAGAGCCCTCTTACCTCCAATGCTGCGCATGACTGGGTCTGCAGCTGTACTTTTAAATAAGAGGCTGAAGCATCCATGCCCTGTGGTGCAAGGGGGTCCTTTCCATCCTAATTTTACCCATGTGAATAAGCTCCCTGATGTCCCAAAGATCCTATTTCTGCCCCAGGTGTTTCCTGGACATTACCTCTCTTTTTTTTTTGACTGCACTTTGACCCCCATTGTGGGTGGGTGGGGTACCCCTGCATCAGCAGCTTCTGGAGTCCTGTGAGCATGTGGGAAGCTTGTTAAAATAAAGAAATATTCCTTTTAAAAAAAAAAAGGGGAGAAGGAAAAAAAAAAGAAAAATACCCTCTGGTGTTTTAAATTGTTATTTTCTACTTTATAAAATTGAGAGGTGGTGGGAGAGGGGCTTTTCCATCACTGATGTCATGTGGGGCTGGCTCTTGCAAGGGGAAGCCACCCCAGATGTGATGCACTTGGATACAAAGGGTCCAGTGATTTATTTCTGGCGTGGTGTCAGGCTGAGGACATGACATGAGTTGTGTCCTTCCTCA